AGAGCGCGCTGGGTCTGGGTGGAGGCTGCTTAGTGTGCGCAGGGCCAGGGGCGCGGGTGTCTTAGTTGGGAGGGGCTGGCGGGGGCGCGCGCGGCCTGGGCTAGGGAGCACCCGGTGGGCGCGGGCACGCGTGCAGCTTTTGCCAGGTTTGGCAAGCGGACAGCGCATCCCAGGCAGTTTCGATTTATCTGCGTGCCTCTGGACGCGCCGTCTAAGCAGTGTGCCCGACTTCTTGGCGGCTGGGCCTGGCCAGGGCTGCTCTGTTCGGGCGGGCTGCAAGGTTAAGCCAGGAGAGCCACAGATGCCCTCTGTGCTTATGGAGCTCTGAAATCTGAAAAGTCAGTCCAGCCAAGCCTCCCAGCGCAGCCGTCGGTGGCTGGTGGCCTGAGGTTCACTGGGAACATAAAGCTAGTGATCCGGTCCTCTCACCCCCCAAAAGTGCTGAAAACATTTATGAACAAACCAGTGCTCTCACAGAGCCTGTATCCGACCGTCAGCTCTTAAAACTTACTCTCTCTGTTATCACTAATGACTGGAAGGCCTTCCCCAGCATCGTGCCAAATCTCTTAAACACCACGTGCACCCCAAGCGACTTTGTTCCTATTTCTCTGGGTGTTTTATACTGAATATGTCACAAAATAAATGTCTCCTTTCAATTTGCTTCTTCTGCAGGGGCATTGCTCCTGTCCCCACCCCCATCTTTCTTTGGAGTTAATTCCACTTTGACAGACGGTTGCTATAGCATTCCCTCTCTGACGTCAAACAATTTAAAGAAACAGTGCAGGGTAACAGGATTGCAGCGCTGGAATAAGGTTTTAAAAAATAATCAGGAGAGCTTTGACATCCTTGCGGCCTTCCATTCCCTCCTCGTGAGCTGCTCCCCAGCATCACCTGGAATAAAATCTACTCACACCTACAGGCAAGGAAGCCAAATTCAACTCCCTGCCTGTGACTGGGAAGAAAAGGCGGCCTCTGTGTAAAGACCACACCACCACAGATGTGGAAATGCGAGGTACCAGGATGATGAAATGGATGGTTTCCCCGCAAAGTTTTGTTTTCCGTAATGCTGGGTGCTTTTTCTCCATTAAGAAGAAAACGAAGAAGTGCCAGACCTATACATCAAAGTGTCAGGAAGGATTGGTTGCAGCTTGAGTAGGCTAATCTTTGATGGTGTGTTTTAGTAATAAATCCTGAGTTGTATCATTGGAAACAAAGGGAAGCTGGTACTTAGAGAGTGCCTGTATGTCTACAGCTTCCTACCTCAGCCTGCCTCCTAGTATTTTTCACAGATAAGCAAACTGAGGCCCCTTAAGGTTCGGTAAGTTATATGGAGTTCCGAGGGATGTGGCACCTGACTAGACCAACGCCAATGCCTGTTTTCCTTTGTTGTGATGGGTTCTCTCTTAAGCCGGTGCACTGGCACCTACCATAGTGTAGGATTCTGAGAAGTGTTTTTGCTTTCAACTGTGTGTTGGAAAACAAGCATTTGGGGAAACAGTGGGAAACACTGGAGTATTAATTCTTTTCTAGAGAAGAACAGGTGGGACCAGACATCAACAGCTCCAAAACACAGACTGAAAAAAAATTGATGATCTTTGATAATTGATGAAAATTTGATGTGGACAGAAATATTAGCCAAATACTCTGAGTATTAAAATGAAGTATTTATCATCCAAACAAACCCATTTCTTGTTATATTTCTGTTTTGCCACACCTGTTTAGTTTTCTGAAAAGAACACTTAGTTTTAAGACTAAGCTTATACTGTGTATCAGAAAGTAGAGTCAGTGAGATTTTCATTACCAAGAACTGCACAGTGTGTGGATACACGGTCACAGCTCCTGACGTTTCTGTGGAACCCATGTGTGTGTGGTGGGAGTAGGGGGCAGAGAAACCAGAAAGGGAAGGAAGAGAGAGAGAGACATATGTGGGGGGGGGGGGACAGAGTCAGATACCGAGGACAAGAGACAGGTAGAGTCACAGAAACACACACACAGAGCTCACTTTTGGTGCTACTGGCTGTGTAGACTGCCTCTCAGGATTGAACCTGGTGATGCCTTGGGGGTGCCACAGAGACATTTAGATTACTGACTCACTAACTCACTAGGTCCATATTCTCAAACCCTACTTTATTAATGGGGCACAAGGAGAACCTCAAAGACAGAATTCACTGTTTTTTTACCCTCATCTCCAGGACGGTGTTCAGCAGGAGGTCTTGCCTCTGCTAGGTACTTGTGGACAAAGAAACAGATGAGGACATGTTGCTTGTTCCGTTTTCCATTCTTAACCCGCTCAGAAGAGGAAAGGAATTGGTTCTTAGGGTTAGTGACAGTCACTTACAGAGGAGATCTGTGTCCCCTTGGTCAAGTTCAGAGACTTTCTGCTCTTGATCCTGATGGTGTGAATTTGAATTCTCTTCACAGTGAGTGGCCCTCACATTTCCAGTGCCACAGGTTTGTAACACTATTTTTAAATCATACTCTAGAAATGCTCGTTTTTTTTTTTTGTTTTGTTTTGTTTTGCTACTTTTTTGTTACATAGCTTAGTGTGCTATGAATGATAGAACCAGCAAAGTGGAAAGTATTCAATACTGAATGCTCCCTCTCAGAGTTGAGTGGTTTAGAACTATGTGGCCAAATTATGACAGCACCCACACCATGTGGCTCACAACACCCTGTATCTCCAGTTCCAGGTTACCCAATGCCCTCTCCTGGCCTCTGATGGTCCTGCATTCACACGAGTGAGAAAGTATGACTCCATAGATTCTGTCAGAAGGGAGTTTTGTGTTGTTTCTACCAGGCATTCTCAACATAGAGAAGTCATACAGACTCCTCCGTGGTGCTCATACAGTCTGCATTTTTGTACCAATCCTTGCACATGTTTTGAGCTCACCTTTGTGGTACCCTGCCCCTCACATACACACTCTTGCTGTGAATTGGTTACAGCTCCTGGATCATTTCACACAGGCACTCAGCAAGAGCAATTTGAAATCCATCTTCCCTAGGCATCTCAGAGAATTTAGAGGAGTGCTACACTGGACTAATGATGTCCATCACAGGCATGAGAGGGAAGTAGAAGTGTGCAGCCATGTGTTACCTGTTCTTTATCTTGTACTTCCTGTTCCCAGAATCCTGTAGGAAAGGGAGTTGGCACAGTGGAAAGAAAATAAACTGCATATTATATAAAAGACCATATGTGGGGCTCATATGGTGGTGGTGGTGGTGGTGGTGGTGATGGTGGTGGTATGTGTGACACACACACACACACACACACACACACACACACACACACACACACACACACACACAGACTCCCTTGGATAATATAGTGTGCATTGGGTCTACCTTATCATGGACAATGAGGGTACTAAATTTTAACATTGTTGGCAAATACTTTTGGCACTGTTGGTCAGTTAAACACTCACTAATTACCTGGCCCTATCCTAGGAAGATTTTTGAATAGCATGTTAGGACGACACTCTGACCTGTGTGTACTGGTGAGTGAAAACATCTGATTAATTCTTTCTTGCTCCATATGAGCAACCCTGAAACAATAGAGTCGAACAAGGAGAAAAAGAGAGAGAGAGTGTTGGCAGTGTCACACAACATGCTAGTCACAACAGTAACCATCTGTAGGGAGCCTTCCTGCATTCTCCATTACAATGAGGCACCATCAGGCACCATCATTGTAATGGAGAATGCAGGAACGGCTCCCTACAACCATCTGTTTTGCACCTTAGCATCTTTGTATACCAGGCTTGGTGGCTTGACAGAAGCATCCTTTATTTACTTTTTGCACTGTCAGCTACACTGTTAGCCATGGCTCTCTCACGGGGCTTCCAAATCAGAGCTACCTGTTGACTGGAAAACCAGCTATGTGTGTGGGCAACAAACTGTTTCTTTTTCACAGGCCTTTCCATGAATTGCAAATTCCCCACAGGCCAGTGGCTGAGTTCTAAGAGCAGGTGTTCTGGAGAACAAGGAGGAAGTGCACCATATCTTGATGACAGTCACACGACATAGCTGTGGCTTCCCATATGCTCTTGGTCTAGGTTGGCCAGATTTGAGTGTTTGGAGCAAGACTTCTTCATGAAATAACTCATCCCAGGAGAACATGAAGGCTGACACATGCACTTACAGATATCTTCAGAAATATATTCTTCTGTCCCAGGCATGTTCATGCACTCCTGCAATATCAGCATACTAACATCTGAGGCAGAAGTGTTGTAGATTTAAGGCTATGTATATATCTCACGAAAATTCAATATAGGCTGAACAGTGAAATCTTGCTTTAAAAAAACAAAAACAAACAAACAAAAAAAACCAAAAACCTGTACCAAACCCCACCATCAGCAGTAAAAGTACAAGCTCCTCAAGCCTGCCAGGCAACTCTCAGTTTCATAACCTATGGTTTTGTCTTTCTTTCCTCCACATAGTGCAAGCTTT